GGGGGGGGGGGGGGGGGGTCGCGCGCCGAGGGGGGCGAGTCCCTGATGAGTGGGTGCGCCCTCAAGGAACCATCCAGGGGCGGGGTGGTCCTGGGCAGGGACAGCCTCAGCACGGCCTGGACAGCCGCACGGGCGCATGTGTTGTGGCGCAAGGGCCCGAGCAGAAGGGTTGGGGAGAAAGCGGGCGGTGTGCTGGTGCAGGTGCGAGTGGAGCCTGACAGGCGGGGAGGCAGCACCCACCGTCCCTGTTGTCCCCTGTGATCTCGTAGGCCGCGTCGCTGGGGGGCGCGTTGAGCCAGCCCAGCATCCTCACCACCGGCGGGAAGGGCGAGGCGTCGGCCACTGCAAGCTGAGGGGGTGGCGTGTCCGATCGCGACGCGGCGGTGCCTCATCAGCAGGGTTGTTGCGCCCACCAGCCATGGTTCCTGCTTTCTCACAAGGCCGTGCCAGGGCATGCGAATTAATTCTGCAACCAACTTTGTTATGCGGCAGCAGCTGCAATGTGCAGCAGCCGGGGCAGCCTCTGAGGCAGGGTTGCAGCAGCGTGGCAGCTGCACCCAGCCGCATGCATCGCGACAGCGTCCGCGTTTTGCGCAGGGGCCGTCCCCCCACCTTCCACGTGCTCTGGGACCGCGACCCTAGCAGCCGCTGCATCGCCAGCGCCTCGTTGGCCGCCACCCCCAAGCTGGCCGCCTGGTACTCCTTTAGCAGCACCGTGGCGGGGCCTGGTGGTGGGTGGATGGTGGGTGGATGGCGAGGACCATGGGTGGTTTAAAAGAAGTTCGATGACTGGGCCGGCGGGAGGGGGAGGTGAAGGAAACTGTAGAGGAAGGGGGCGGAGGAGGGAAGCGTACAGGAAACAAGCATGGAAGTGACGCCACTGCATGTGCTGGTGCAAGTGGGCACAAGTTGGGGGCCGACATGCCGTGTTCATGCGTTCCAGTCGTGCCCATGCGCTTTTCATATAAGTTGATGGAGCGTAAGCCGTGGCGCTCGCCGACCTTCAAAGGGCAGGCCGCTCGTGTATCGCGCCACGTAGACAAAGACGGGTTGCTCCGCCAGGGGGATGGCCCCAGAGGAGCGCGCCGCCATGTCGTCATCCTCCGCTGACTGCTGCTGACGTCATGCGAGGCGGGGCGAGCGCGCGTGAGCGTGTGTGTCACGGGGTGGTGGCTGGACACAGCAGGAAGCTGCTGACGATGCAAGCAAGAGTGCTGTTGCTGCCTCCGCACACCGCCATCGCTCTGTTTCAAACCTCCACAACCCAGACTAAGCCCTGCGCACCACTGCTAGCTGGCCTAGAGTCTTGTACACCTGCGGCATGTAGGGCCGGGGCAGGGGATGTTGGGCTGCAAGGGCGGAGCGGTGGGTGAAATGATGTACCGCACGCTGTGCAAACACGCAGCGCAAGGGTCGCCTCCACCAATGGCGATGACGTCAGCAGCGCTGCTCCCGCCGCAGCTGCCACTCCGGCCCGCAACACCGAACGCACACGCTGCTGCCAAACCCAGCACACCTGGAAGTCTGCAGCAATGAATTCGTTGTCATGTGGCGGCATCGCAACCGGCAGGGCCGCCGCTGCCGCTCGCTCAAAGCTCCTCCCCTGCTGTCGCTGCGTGGGCAAGTCCAGCTCCGGATCGAGGGGCGGCTTGATTTCCCTCCCGCTCGCCTCCGTGTCCCCACCCTCTGCGCCGCTGCTTGTGGTGTTGTCTGCAGCGTTGAGCGGGTCTGGAGGCAGCGAGGGCGCATCCAGCGGCCGGCTGCTGGCCCGCATCTCAGCCGCGCGCTTTGACAGCATGGCTGCCAGTTCGTCGATACTCGATTCTGGGCTGCCCTCATCGCCGCCGGGGCCCTGGCCGCCTCCCGCCCCACTTGCACAGCATGGTGGCAGAAGCGGCGGAGTGTGGAGCCATGCCTGCAGGGTGGTGCCGCAGCCCGGCCGCTGCGGCACCGATGGGCGAGTGCGAAGGATTGTGCCCGGCCTTCGAATGAGTTGCATTCTGCAGTGCGGCCTGTTCAGAAATCGGATCAGGTACGCATGCAGCAAAATGACGTGGCAACTTGAGCAGTGCAGGAAATGTGGCTGAAATGAAGGTTTCAACGAAGAACAGCTGGTGTGGATGTCACCACATCCGTCCGGCCGTGGACATACGACTTACCGAGAGTACATTGATCGGGGCAAGCTCCGCTGCGCCGTAAAATGCTACGCGCACGTAAGCTACTCAGCTGTATCTGATCTCGCTACTCTGATTCATTGTGCTAGACAGCCACGATCGATCTTGCGTGATCTGGCTCCCTCTGCATCAACGTGTCACATTTAGCAATTAAGACGTAGTTGTACCTGCCATAGTGCAGGTGGACCCTAGTAGCAGCTATGTTGGCCCAGCAGCGGCATGCTGCACAATGCAGCAGCAGCAGCATGAGACACTGCAGCGCGTTTTCTGGACCGGGCGTGCCTCGAAGGAACATGTGGAATGCGGCACATGCTGGCAGAGCTAAAGCGACCAGCAGACGCGCAGTGGTGGTGCAGGCGGTGAGGGCCTCTGCGTGATCAGGCGTGCCTTTTGCCGCGCCAGTACACACGTGTCTGCCCCTGTTCTGCGTTCATCGTCTAGGAAGGTGGTCATCTGTGTCTTGTGCGCCCACGTCCGCAGAGGAAGCTCTCACACCTGCGCAAGAAGATGTGGAAGGAGGCGGGCCCGCCGCCGGACCTCGCTACGCGCTTGTTCACTGAGCGGATTATATACCTGGTGCGACAGTCAGGGCATGGGAATGCGGTGGGATTCCCTTGAACATACCAGCTGGCTTGATGCAGTGGCAGTGTATCGGCCCTGCGGTGGGAACGACGGACGCTTGGTCATGGGTTTGACTTTTAGTCTGTGACGCTGGCGGCAGCTTGCCGCGCGGAAGGCGCGAGTTGACAAGCAGTGCATTCACGGTCTTAGTGCGGCAGCGATCACCTCCCGCACGAGAGCTTTACGACGCCAGCTCGGCTTGCACACGTATTGCTGCTGCCAAGCTGACGTCGTAAACCAACTCGGTCTTCGCAGCCAAACAACTGCGGGAGGCGCGATGCGTTTTTTGCACGTCCTGCTCAGGGCCGATATTTTTCTACTGCTGCTGCTGCTTCCTTGTCACTTCCTTTGCCCTGACCGCAGCCGCCGGTGCGCTATCCACCCACTTCAAACCGCAGGGCATGCCCATCGACTCGTCAGTGGCGGAGCTCATCACTGCGCAGCTGTTTGTGCTGTCCCAGGAGGCCCCTGACCCCATCTTCTTCTACATCAACTCCACGGGCATTGCGGTGCGCGCCCATTGGACGCCTGCAGAAGCCCGATGGGCACTGCCTGCAGCTGGGGTCAAAGCAGTGATAAATGTCAGGGCCGGCTCGGCCTTTTTCTCCTGCGGTCTGCCCTGACGGTGTTGGATGCGCGCAGCGCCGCTGGCTGGGCTGGGCCAGAACCCAGGGCGGGTCGCTTTGCCACTCCGCTGACCTAAGGCAAGCGAGCACCCTTTGCTTGTGTCACGCACCCAGAAATCAACCACCAAGTACGGCAACGAGCACGAGGCCATAGCCGTGTACAGCATGATGCGCGCGGTGCAGAAGTTCTGCCCCATCTACACGCTCTGCGTCGGCAACGCGTTCGGCGAGGCGGCGCTGCTGCTTGCCGCCGGCAGCAAGGCGAGCGGCCCGGCTTGTGGCGCGAGGGGCCCTGGCGGTGGGCTGGGGCCTTGAGGGTGGCGCGGCTGGGCCTGCTGCAGCAAGCTGGGGGCCATACGCGTGCCTGGACCGGTAGGCCGCGCTGACCGTTGCCGCGCCGCCCGGGCTTTTGCCGCCAACACCCCTCCCGCAGGGCAAGCGCGCCGCGCTGCGGTCGACGACCATCATGATCCGGCAGCCGCTGCAGCGCCTGTCGGGCATGCAGGCCAGCGACATCGACATCTACCGGCGGGTGACGCGCGAGAAGACCGGCCTCATGGTGCGCCCCTGGGTCTGGCGCTTAAAGGAGGCGCTAACTTACTCGGGGTCGGCGTTGGTTTGGGCAGTGCATACTATCTGAATGCATTGGTTGAGTCGCCATGGCGCCTGTCATGGCCCATGTGTGGGGAGAGGGGCCCTGACAGGGTCATTGCTCCGACATGCCCTTATGCGCGCGCGCACACACATACACACACGTCCACACACCCACACACGTACACACACACACATACATAAACACACACCCACACACGCACGCACACACACACAAACTTCCAGGCCAAGTACCTGGCCGCCTCCACCGGCAAGACCGAGGAGGAGATCACCAGCGACTTCCAGCGGCCGCGATACTTCAACCCCTTCGAGGCGGTTGGCTACGGCCTCATCGACCAGGTGGGGCGGCGGCACAGGAACAGGCTGCCGGCGGCTGTGCCAGGGCCTTGGCGCGGCCTTGGACGGGTAGGGCAGGCTCAGTGCCGAGGCGCGGGCGGCAGGGATGCTCTCGCCACGCTCGGCTCTGCAGCCGCATTCCCCTCGCGCCCTCGTCCCCCGGCGCGGGTCTGATGGTTGCGCGTGCGCCGGCCCGGGGCCGCGTCTTGCTGTCCGGCAGGTGCTGGAGCCGAAGGACGGCCGCTCTGTGGGCAAGGACTGGGAGGAACTGGGGTCGGAGATTGGCAACCTGCCGCTGCTGGCGGACGACGAGCAGCCGCTGCCCACCAACGTGATGTACCCCGGGACCAGCGAGTTCTGGAGGAACGACGACTACGAGGAGTAGGGGCGGCGCGGCGGCGCGGGGGGCGGCGCGCGCGCGCGCGCGGCTGCGCTGCACTACGGTTGTAACGATGTGGCGGGTTTCTGTAGTATAGAGGCAAACCCTTGGTTGGGGTACGCGCAGGAAGTTGCAGGGCTGGGGGTGTGAGTCGTGGTGTGCAGTGCGGAGGCGTTGCAGGGGCAGAGATATTGCTGGTGCGGTGCGCGTGCTTCAGGCGGGGTGTGGCGCGGCAGTCGCTGGGCGGACGTGCTTTCCCGTATGGGAGTCGTGGGAGCGGTGCTGCATGGCAGAAGGGGCGGGTGGGGTGGCGCCTGGCAGGGGAGGCGGTCGCTCTGTGCGGTGGTGTGATGGGTGCTGTCGTGGGTGTTTTGGGGTGATCTTGCAAGGTGGAAGAGTGCCACGAGAAGGCGGTGCTGCATGGCTGACAGAACACACGCAGCTGGGAGGAGCCGTCCCTGGAAGTTCATGCTCTGAGTTGAACTCTGCCGGCGTGCACGTAACTTTTTTGCAAGGAATGGACAGGATGCTTCTCATGCTGTTGTGTGCAGGCCCCAGCCGATTGCCAACATTGGCCAAGACAGCTGCCTGCTGCGAGTTTGGCCAAACTCGCAGTCCCGCCGTCGGGCTCTCGAGTGACGCCGCCGGTTGGGACGTGGCTGGCACTCGAGATCACCAACACAGCAACTCCATACATGCTGAATAGGTGAAGTCCTTGCGCCCTGAAATCCGTGTACCGAGCGACCGGCCTTCTGCATCAGGTCCTGCAGGCTGAAAGCGGCCCGATACAGGCCCTAGGCTCGCCTTGCGACTGTAAGGCAACCGTCGTTATGTCCCGCATCCTCGCACTCGCGCTGGTGTCAGCTCTGCTGCTGACGGCGCCCACGCATGCAGCGACAGAGCGTCATCTGCAACAAGACACGTCTGTCACGCCCACGATTCCCGACGCGTTCGAACAAATAGGCGCAGTCCTCCAGCAAAACGCTCAGATTGCAACCAACGCGGCGAAGTCTGCGGCCCTGGCGACGGGGGCCGCCATCAAGAACGCGACGTCGGCGGTGTACGGCACCAGCGGTGCCTCGACGCCGCACGCTGCAGAGCTCCTGCGCGCCAGCGCTGCAGCTGCTGTGGCGCTGCTGCTGCTGCTGCCTTGAAGGCTCACTTGAGATGCCTCAAATGGTGACGTTTGCGCCCTTGCTGTTGCATGCCGACAGCCAAGATGATTCCTGCGCCCTAAACCTTTGTTTTGCCTTGGACCCTTTCGGTGCCTCGGCAAGCGCCAACGCGCGCGATGCGCTGCGAGGTGCTCGGGCCTTACTTAGGGCGCTTGGCGACCCCTATGCATGCGTAGGGCATCCGCCTTACTCCCCAACAAATGCACACGTGCTGTATGTTGCACCCTTATCCGCTTCCATGATTGATGGGCGCTGCGCAGTGCAGCCCCCCAAACCACCTGCTGCCGCCGAACACAAGAAATGCACAAAGCAGCACCAGGCCTGCCACGCACGAGTGCGGCTGGCAACGTCCCGCAAGCCCCCACATGCACTGAGGTGACCACCCCCATAGGGCGCCGAGGATCGACCCATGATGCGGTTATCCACCTGCAGGCGCAATCCTGGTCAACATCACATCACACGCTTCCACCCTCGCCTGCCCCGTGGCTTGCTGTGCTGGTGCTAGCACCTGCCGCCACCACTCTAGGATACATGCGATGGCCGCACACACTTTCCATCACACACTTGTCGAAGTTCCTCGCTTGGCCATGTGTTATTGTGTATCTTGGCGCGCTCTGCTCTGATGATGAGCTGGGCGCATTGCAGGGGTAGGAGACCTGCTGCATGCCGGCGCTGCTGTGCGGGATGATAAGGGCCTGTGGTACTTTCAGCTGCCCCTTCCCTTCTGTAAGTGAGTTTGATGAAGCGTGGCTGTGCTGGTAGTTGTAATTGGGATGGGATCTGGTTTGCAATGGTGTGCGGTCCAACCTGCCTACAAAACAGGGGACCACAGCAATGGGGACGCAGGGTTGCCACCCAATGCACATATACAAGAAGGGGGTGGACAATGGCCAGAAAAAAAATGAGTTCGATGACAAGATGATCAAGGCATTCATGTTTGGGTGGCAGCATGACAGGATTGCCATCCGGCCAGCAGCAGCAGCGGCGGCGGCAGCAGCAGCAGCGGCGGCGGCGGCAGCAGCAGCAGCAGCAGCAGCGGCAGCGGCAGCAGCGGCAGCAGCAGCAGCAGCAGCAGCGGCAGCGGCAGCAGCGGCAGCAGCAGCAAGCCGCCCTTCAATGACAGTGCTCAGCATCACGGCAAAGCCGACGAGCCCAACGAGCCGAAGCTGCTACCGCTGTTTCTGCCGCTGCTTCTGCCCCTGCTCCTGCGCTGACACCTGCGCCTGCTGCTGCCCCGTGCCGCCGTCACCCGCCCAGCCGGAGGCGATCATCCAGGCGATGATCTGCTCGTACGCCAAAAACGTCAGCGCCGCCGCCGGTGCCGCCTTGACGATGCTGGGCACAGACCCCTGCGCCACAATTACCAAGGGTCGCCGGAGCAAGGGCGTGTACGTGTGTCGAAAAAGGGGAGGTGGCGCGAGGTCGAAACTGGGTGGACACGCGCCACCCGGCATGGTCGAGCGGAGGGCAGCCCCAGAATGCGACAATGGTTGCTGGCAGCCACCGGCCCGCTCGCAACAACGCGCGGCAGGGTGACGCGCTGCAGCGCTGCAAAGGGGGGGCCCGAGGCTCCCCGCGCGCACCTTCCAGAGCCCGGCGACGCCCTCCCGCTGGTAGATCTCCGCCAGGCATGAGAAGAGTGGCTGGATGGCCAGGGTGCGCTCCACGCGCGCGCCGTAGCGCAGCGACCGCGGCAGGCCCGCCACCTGGAGCCCCGGGACCGGTTTTTGGGGAGGGGAGCGAGGGGGCTTGGTTCGCGCAAAAAGAGCAAGGGGACGCGGGCATCTGCATCGACTGCGGGCGCGACCGGAAGCCGGCAGCCCTGCACACGCTGCCTGCACGCCACCGCCTGACCCCGCACCTCCTGCATCGCACGCACCAGGCCGTCGCTGCTGCGGCCGCCCGCTGTGGCGGGCCGGCGACCGCCATGCATCGCGCCGCCTGGGCGCTCCAAGACGCCGAGTGCATGCGACCACTTGGTGCTCCTCCCACCTGGTACCGCTTCTTGGCCACGTCCAGGGGGTGGCTGGTCAGCTTGGCCACCAGCCCGGCCAACAGCCCGCACGTGAACGCCTGCACCTTGTCAGGCGGCGGCGCCGCGCCGCCGCCACTGCTGCCTTTGCTGCTGGCGCCCTGCCCGCTTTGCTGCGCCGCCTGCAAGCCGCGGATGCACGGGGGCAGGTGGAGGGTGACGGCAGGGATTACAACCGGCTTGGCCTTGTCGCCACCTGCCCTCCTGTTGAGCCTGTGCAAAGCCTCCCTCCCTCACGTGCGCGCCCACAGGTGCACACACACACACACACACACACACACACACACACACACACACACACACACACACACACACACACATGCGCGCTGGCACGCACACATTTGCACCGGCACGCACCCACCCATGCCCAAGCTCCCCTAGCGGGGCCCACCTTGACCCGTGCGTTCTTCCAGGCGGTGTTGAGGGCGTCGTACAGCCCAAACTGCAGCGCCGCATACGGCACAATTTCAATCAAAGTAACCCCGAGGCCGCGGTACAGCCCGATGACGCCGTGGTCCTTCACGATGCCGCGCGCCGCCGCCCCCATGGTGCGGTACACCTGGACGCACGCAGTACGAAACAGGGGGTCAACGGGCGCGGGTGGCTGGTGTCGTGCGGGCGCCCCCTGTGCGCCGAGAGGGTGGTACTGCAACCACGGCCGCGCAGGCAGACGGCCAGGATTATGGGCGGGCTCTTTTCTCTGTTGCACGATGCGCGTTCCCAGGGTAGCTGCAGCCGGCATGCTGTTACCAGGTTGGTTTCGTGTTGCCCTTGTGGCACCTTTCTGACACCGGGCAGAGCCCGTCCACAGGATAGCCCTGCCCATCTCGACACGCGCCGCACCTTGGGCTCCCCCTGCGCGGCCAGGGTGGTCCGCAGCAGGTCAAACGGGTAGGACGCCACCGTCGCAGCCGCGCCCGCCACCGCGCCGCTGCCGAACGAAACGGCCGGCGCCCACGGGGAGTCGCGCGCGGTCCAGCCCAGCCGGGCCGCCGTGTCCTTGACCTGCTGCAAGGCCACGAACTGAACAGCCGTGTAGGGCACCGTCAGCAGCAGGCCGGGGACCGTGCCGCGCCACAGGCCCTGGAGGAGGGAGGTGCGAGCGGCACGGGCGCGCAATGCAGGCCAGTCGAAACGCCGGTCGACTGCAGGCTTGTCGCCTCGCGGTCGAGCGGAAGGCGGGCGGGGTGGCATGAGCGCAGGCAGGGGGAGCATCACGGGCCGTTGTTGGCGCTGCTAGTGCATGCGGGGGACGCTGCAGTCGCGTGCTTGAACAGCACGGCGCGGCTTGTTGGAGCGCGCGGTTGGAGCGCACAGTGAGGCGCGTCCGCTTTGGACTGACGGCCCTGAGCGCGGCCCAACATCAGCATGAGTGCGGCAAGTGTTTGGCCCCGAGCCGCCGCGAGCACACTCGGTGTGCGTGTACGGGCAGCATGTGCTCGCGCGCCGCACCGTGACTCCCTCCTCCCGCAGAACGGTGGCGATGGCGTGCGTGAAGCCTGTGTACTTGCTAATGCCGCTGCCGCCCAGCACCGGCTCGAGCTGCACCTGCAGCCTTATTTTCACCAGGTCTAGGGGCGCGACAATGACGCGGCTGATGCAGCCGGCGGCGGCCCCCGCCGCGGCATCAAGAGCCATGCGCCGTCCGTCGCGCACGCCGCTGCTGCCGCTGCCGCCGCCGCCGCCCTCGTCCTCGCCGCTCGGCACGTGCATGGGGGAGGGTTCAGCGGTCAATGTGCGTGAGTTGTTTCACCTATAGCAGAATACGGGATGCGTTTGTGCAAGCACGACGCGCAGTCAAGTATGGGTTACAATTCCTTGGTGATCGCTGTGCTGCGACAAATGGTCTCCCTGTTGATCGAAGAGACAACCGAATATGCATTCGACCGCAGCTGATGATGATATCACCGACGCACTGCACGGGGCACCGGGGTGACAGCGGAGACTGGACTGCTGTGGCAGCAGGCGTGTATCATATCGTACTAGACAAGCTGAATCCGAAGCTTTGGTGTTATGAGATGAACTATAGATGTATATGGTGCTGGTGTCAGTTGCCAGCTCCCAACTGACACGTGTGTTCAGTGCGCCGACTTCATTTGCGCAGCTTGACCCTGGATTGCTGGCCCTGCGCTGTGGATGGATGCCTCCGGCGCGGTGACGCCACCCAGGGCCAATAATTGCTCTTGTTGTGCGCACCCTCCCCCCGCACCAAAACTTGCTCTCCCTGTGCGCAGCACCCTCGCCCCCACCCTCCAGCGGCTCCAGTCAGGCGACGTGAGTACTAATCGAGTCAGTCGGCGTGAGTACTACTTTTCTAGATGACCACCGGTGCACTCGTGGGTGGGCAGCCGCCATGATGGCCCAGGCGAGCCCACCAGCGACAACAAATACCTGCCCTGCACGCCGACCGCGCGCGCCATACACACACGCACACACAAACGCGTGAGCGCGCGCACACACACGCGTGTGCGCGCGCGCACACACACACACACACACACACACACACACACAAAAACCAGCCGCCAAAAGGTCATCGTCGCTTCTGGCGTGATCGTGGGCGCACACAGCACTCGCAGCAGGCAGGTGGAAAGCGCCGCGAGCAGCTTGCCGCCAATGCCAGCTTTGCGCCAGGCAGTGGCGGGATCCGCTGCACTAGGAACCGCTGATGCTGTGGGCCGCCACCAGCCCATCCCTGGCACGGCCTCGTAGGTGCCGTCGCCACCCCAACCCCGGCTTGCCGCGATCTTTCCATGGGCCACGCACTGATGCTGGAGCAGCAGATGACGCTGCAGGGGCTGACGGCGCATCAAACTACTGCCATGGGGAAGCAGCCGCCGCTGCTGCAAGCCGTGCCTGCTGCCACGTACCCAGCAAACGCCTTCACAAGTCAAGCAACCGATTGCTGCAGTCGGCGCCTGTCCCACTCAAGCTGGGCAGGAGCAGGACCCCCTTGCTTGATCCAGAATACGCGCGGCTGTCGAAGCGCTGATGCAATCTGAGCGTCAACCCGACTGCAGTCCCAAAACGCACTTTACAGGCCTTCCAACAATGCTGTACACGCACAAGCATCAACACCACACGGGATGCATCTCAAACGCTTGCACGTTGACCACCATGAAGCTGCACGGCGTGGCGGCAGCGCACTGGCAGCAGGGGGTCACCACACAAGCCCGCGCAGGAGCAGCAGGCCAGCAAGCAAGCCACCTCTGGCAGGTGGCGCGACAAGAGGCGCCTAGAAACAGATGCCACGCGTGCCGCTCCGCAAGCCGGCGACCCCCTTTGGGGCCGCTGGCGCCGGAGCACCCAAGGGGGCCTCCGACACGGCGCGCGCGCGGGC